ATTTTTCTGAGTGGAAACCCCTTCAGTTTTCCAATGTAAAACAATCATAAAGTTTTATTTCTTTTTTAAAAAATAATTTCCCGCTGAAGGGAGATACAAAGCGCAGAACCCCTGTTTGCTCCTGCTGCACTCACTTGGCAGCCCAATCTTTCATCCTGACATCTGTTCAATGGAAGGTCTTCCAAGAGAACATTTACATTTTGATGTCTTTCCAGAGTCATGTTCAGACATGGCTGTATTGAAACCACAAGCTGAGTCCTGTGATGTACCTGAAGTCCATTTTGACAAAGTTACTCATCGAGATTCCATACTACCTTCTGAATTAAAACTAGTGTTGATCTTCCTAATGGCATGTGACTAAACCATAACAGAGATTGGAGAGGTCAGTCTTGATGGATGTTGGATAAGGCTCTAAAATGTCCTCCAGTGCCTATTAATATATTTTATGGTCCACTGGAGACTTTTAAAGAAATCAGAATATAAGGGCTGGAATGAACAGCCCATATTTTTGACCTTTATTGTCACACTTTGGCTAACTGAGATCCTATAGTTGCCCTATAATTGATCACATTAGGTCTACTTCTCACCACCACTGGGAATTTTCTTGCCATGTGGAATGCCCATGTTGTGTGGTCAGGCAATCCATAAAAACTGGTCATGAGGCCAGTGAGTTTGCCCCCTCTTTGGGCAACTCGTGTCAATTGGAGCCACCCTAAGATACCCAAATGTCCCCATGTTTCCTTTCTCCTCCTATTCTGTTCAAGTTACTCCCTCAATGCTGATGCCTTCCAGTCTGCTCATAGCGTACATCTGGGCCCAATAATTAGTATTTTATGTGTGTGTGTGTGTATGTATTGTTGGGGGGGTGGTGGGGCGCGGTGGTGTGGGCATTGTTGTTGGGTGGCAGATGCTAAGTCAGGGGAGAAGCCAGTGGGCGGAGGAAGAGCTGAGAGCCCAGGCAAGGACCTCATTTATTATCCCTACCTTTGATTCTGTTTCAGATATTAGCATCCACAGTTCTTTGTTTTACGTTCTGTAATTTCCTTTATAAGCCATGGTTTGGCCATTTTAGTTTAGTGCCAGGCAGGAAGGAACAATTGTTGAAGTTTACCAATGTGCTCTTTGACTGTTTCCTGTTGTCTTTCACCATCATCTGTTTAAATAACATTCCCAATCTATGATCTTCTATTCTATTCTTCTATTTAGATTCAAGATCATAACCTTAAAATCAATTATTGTCATTCTCTGTCTTGATGACGAATTATATCATGTCTTAGTTGCTCATTCTCAAGGTGCCTAACATAATTAGATTACCAATTATTCCTTTTTCATTACTTAAATCCCAGTCTAGGATGGCCTGTTTTCTAGTTGAGTCCTCAATGTATTGGTCCTGAAAACCAGCCCATATACACTACAGGAATTCCTTCTCTGTGGTATTGTTACTAATTTGATTTACCCAATCTGTATGTTATAATTATAAATTCCCTTTATTGCATGCACCTCTAATTTCCATTTTAAAGCCATTCCCAACATCACCCCTCCAGTTGGGGGTCTATGTAAAACCCCAACTACTGTATTTTGCTCCATGGTGTTCCTCAGCTCTACTCATACAGATTCATAAGAACATAAGAACTAGGAGCAGGAGTAGGCCGTCTGGCCCTTCGAGCCTGCTCCGCCATTCAATAAGATCATGGCTGATCCTTTCATGGACTCAGATCCACTTACCCGCATTCTCACCGTATCCCTTAATTCCTTTATTGTTCAAAAAAAATCTACCCTTTTTTTAAAAGCATTTACTGAAGTAGCGTCAACTACTTCACTGGGCAAGGAATTCCATAGATTAACAACCCTCTGGGTGAAGAAATTCCTTCTCAGTTCAGTCCTAAATTTGCTCCCTCTAATCTTGAGGCTATGCCCTCTTGTCCTAGCTTCACCTGCCAGTGGAAACATCCTCTCTACTTCTATCTTATCTATTCCCTTCATAATTTTATATGTTTCTATAAGATCCCCCCTCAATCTTCTGAATTCCAATGAATATAATCCCAATCTACTCCGTCTCTCCTCATAAGCCAACCCCCTCAACTCTGGAATCAACCTAGTGAACCTCCTTTGCACCCCCTCCAGTGCCAGTACATCCTTTCTCAAGTAAGGAGACCAAAACTGCACGCAGTACTCCAGGTGTGACCTCACCAGCACCTTGTACAGCTGCAACATAACCTCTCTGCTTTTTATTTCAATCCCTTTAGCAATGAAGGACAAAATTCCATTTGCCTTCCTAATTACTTGTTGTACCTGCAGACCTACCTTCTGTGATTCATGCACAAGGACACCCAGGTCCCTCTGCATAGCAGCACGCTACAACTTTTTACCATTCAAGTAATAATCCTTTTTACTATTACTCCTACCAAAATGTATGACTTCACATTTATTTACATTGTATTCCATCTGCCAGACCTTTGCCCACTCACTCAATGTATCTATGTTCCTCTGCAAAGTTTCACAGTCCTCTGCACACTTTGCTTTGCCACTCATCTTAGTGTCATCTGCAAACTTTGACACCCTACACGTGGTCCCCAACTCCAAATCATCTATATAAATTATAAATAATTGCGATCCCAACACCGATCCCTGAGGCACACCACTAGTCACTGACTGCCAGCTAGAATAGCACTCATTTATCCCCACTCTTTGCTTCCTGTTAGTCAACCAATCCTCTATCCATGCTAATACTTTACCCTTAATGCCATGCATCCTTATCTTATACAGTAGCCTCTTGTGCGGCACCTTGTCAAAGGCCTTTTGGAAGTCTAGGTACACCACCTCCACTGGGTCCCCATTGTCCACCTCGCTCATAATGTCTTCATAGAATTCCAAAAGATTTGTCAAGCATGACCTGCCCTTCATGAACCCATGCTGCATCTGCCCAACGGGACAATTTCTATCAAGATGCCTTGCTATTTCTTCCTTGATAATAGACTCAAGCATCTTCCCCACTACAGAGGTTAAGCTAACCGGTCTATAATTCCCCATCTTTTGTCTACTTCCCTTTTTAAACAGTGGTGTCACATTTGCTGTTTTCCAATCTGCTGGGACTGCCCCAGAGTCCAGCGAATTTTGGAAAATTACCGCCAGTGCACCTGCTATTTCTCCCGCCATCTCTTTTAGTACCCTGGGATGCATTCCATCAGGGCCAGGAGACTTATCAATCCTTAGTTCCATTAGCTTGCCCAACACTACCTCTTCCGTAATTATGATTGTTTCCAGGTCCTCACCTACCTTCGTCTCTTTGTCAATTACTGGCATGTTATTAGTGTCCTCCACTGTGAAGACTGATACAAAATACCTGTTCAATGCCTCGGCCATTTCATCATATCCCATAACTAAATTCCCCTTCTCATGCTCTAAAGGGCCAACGTTTACTTTAGCCACTCTTTTTCGTTTTATATATTTATAGAAACTTTTCCTATCTGTCTTTATATTCTGTGCTAGTTTTTTCTCATGTTCTATCTTACTTTTCCTTATAGCTCTTTTTGTAGCTTTCTGTTGACCTTTAAAGTTTTCCTAATCTTCTAGTTTCATGCTGTTTTTGGCCACTTTGTATGCCTTCTCTTTCAATTTGATAGCCTCCCTTATTTCTTTAGACACCC